AGTCGATAGATGGTGAACCAGTGCTCATATCGAAATGGTTTCCATGGCCTGATGTGGAGGTTGAAACATGGCTGATACCGCCCGTCGAGAAAGTGTCTGAGAACTGGCATTTGAGAGTTCATAAACTTAAGAATCCGAACCGAAAGATCATGTCTGTAGAGGGAGCATTCGCAATATACGGGCAGACCAGCAAAGATGGAAGGACATTGGGTACATTTGATGGGGCGGAAGGGAGGTTCACAAAGTTGGGTGAAGCATTTGCAATTTCTTCTGCGGGAGCAGTGGGTATTTTGGATATGTCACCGGGTGATCAGAGGAAGGGAGTTGTGATGAACGTAGATGCGAATGCCAATTTAATGGCAGCAAGGACGGTTTTGCCACAGCTAGAGGCGATAAATTTGCCAAAGGAAGGAGAGACATGGTTGGTCTCGGCGGTGTTCGCATTGCCGGTAAGGTCTGGAGAGACAAGTGTGAAGGGTACTTGGGAGGAGAAGTGGGAGAAGAAGCCGGCGGTTCCAGAGTGGATCTCGAAGTTGATGAAGCAATGATTCATCGATATGTGGCATGTTTTTTTGTTCATACGGACATTGAGTCCCGACGATCTTCCTAAAGGATAGAAATTGAGAATATTAACAGATTGCCACTGCCCACAATTTTGAATTTTTCGAGAACCTAGGCCTCTACCTTAAGGTGCCTGTCCTTAATGCTGGTCAGGGGTTAAACATGGAATATCACTCGAGGCCTTAATAACTTTAGTTTTTCGAACTCACCAACACATTTAGACCAGAAGATTCTATGCCTCAGCCAATCATCTTTCAGTACGTACAAAAACTCTCATTCTCGTAGTAATTTGCCCCGATATCCCGACCTCGCGCCTTCCCCACATTTCAAGCTAAAAGCCAAGATAAATACCAAATATGTGGCGCAAAACGCGCGCGACGAGCTTAATCGCTGAGAGTCGGGGGTAAGACAGGTGCCCCTGTAGACAAAATCCCTATTGAGCTTATAGAGCAAGTATAGCATTATCGTGCATTGTTTCGCCATCGCAAATGCTCGTTCTACCTTGGCTATGGAAGCGAACACGACGCTTTTTTCACCAATGGATATGGTTTTAGTTTTGAGTCTCCCTTGAGTATTTAAGTAGACTCTGGTACATTTCTTTGCCTGATCAAGCGCAAATATATATCGGGTCATTAGGTTTCGAGATTTTCCGAGGTTACTCAAGCATATCCGAAAGGAACCGTGTCGGAGCTTTGAACACCCGGGCTTCTTAGTTTTGAAGACGTTTATAGGTGAGAATTAGAGTTGGTCGGGTGCAATCCATAAAACGCTGGCTCGAGACAGGCTGGTCCATCAGCTCAAGCTCGTCCGACTCATAAACCAAGTCCACTTATGGGGGAAGATGTTGAAAGGATCTAATATCTTTCCCGGCATCTGGCAATGGGAGACTAGAATGAGGTGAGATATAATAAAATTATCTACTTTCCTGATAAATCTGGATATTTGATTCCCCGATAGTTATACCTCTTAAGTACCGCAAGTCGGAATTGAAACTGAACGATTGATAGGCGAGAGTGTGCCCGGGACGAGTCTATCGTTGGCTCAATCAAGCCAGCTTGAGCCGTGGAGACAAAGGCGCTAATAATTCAAACACAAAATACTTAGATGACATAGGTATAAGCCTACTTAATTCCTAGAAAAGCTTTGTTACTTACTTATCTAGGTTTCAGTATAATAGGCATTCAGAGAGCAAAGATTGAATACCTACACTTGTTTCCTTAGAAATAATCGTTTCACTGTTATGTACAAGCGCTTAAGCCTGCTATTATGTAGTACTGCTGCTGCTGCTGCTGACAGTGATACGTGGAGATGCAATATAATATTGGCGATATTGTCTAAGCGCCTTTAATCAACCATAATTGATTCAGTAATGAAACAACCCCATTTTGATGCTGGTTGTGATGTCAACGGTGAGTTTATGGTGGGGTTGAGTGACAATAGCTTTGAAACAGACGTTTGGTGGTCGTGTTGGTAAGATGTGAGGTGGAGCCGTTTTTATAACAGGTGATTGAAAATAAGGTTTCATAGGGCAAAACTTAAAATTTCGTCTAAAGGACTGATAATTCAGCTAAACGACCCTAAAAACTCAAAATAATGTTAAAGCCATCTATATCGATTCATCAAACACTATTGGGTTTATATCTGCAGGACTCATTGTCCTGCACTAGCGCAGCTCTGGGTATGCAATGTTGGCACTTCTTCTCTACTAGATCACTGAGGAAGCGCTCCTCTTCCAAAAAGACTCCTTATAATTGGTAAGGAAACCCTCCATAGAGTCCATAGAGGGGGTACATTTCTGAAGGAGCTAGGATTCGCGAAGACTAATATAATGTTGAAGGAAGGATAAATTCATTGATCGATATGCTGTCATGATTGGCCAGCCCCCCGATGACATGTAATGCCCTGGCACCCTAGCTATAGTATGAACTCCAATCGACCTCCTTTAATCATTGTATCCAAGACTAACAAAGGGACGTAGGACACCAGTCGTATGCGCATTCGGTATTCTTTTAGTGGGGGCTGATTATTCCTAGAGATGTGGACCACAAATTTCTAGTTTAGCCAGGAATAGCATTCACTTAGGAACGTTCCCGAGGAAACTTCACTCGGGAAAGTGTTTTATCGGGCCCAGGGGCCTTTGATGCCTACCCCAAGTTTATTGAGAAATATCCACAGCGTAGGCGGAAAATGCCTTCAAAGAAAGAAAGACACGTGACTGTTAAAAGTACAGCACGTAAACCCAGAAAGTTACGTTATAATACACGATAATGAAAAAGGGGTTTCGAATCCTGCCTAGGTACGGATGTAACCTACTTCAACTAGAGTGCCATTACCGGGAGGTTGTATGAAAGATGGCTCATCATCCATGACAATGAGTTCTTCTCGAAGGGACTTTTATCTTACCTGGTTTTTGCTCTTTGTAATAGCTGACCGCTCCTGAATAATCTGGCTCACTGAGTAACGCCCTCCTCCCCCGGGAGCGAACCATGTTCGTCAGCAGCGAGAACTACAAGTTCCAACCACGTCAAAGTAGGAGATGAGAACGAGATTAGTAAGACGCATCTCTTTCAACAATTTATGCGTGTGCTCCGCCATTGCCACCTTCTGTTTCAATCTAGTGTCTTTTCACTAATAATAAAAGGTGTGCAGATCTGGATCTTCTTGATCACGAGATGTCACCCGGTCGAGTCGCCCTTGATCTCGTGCTATCTCAACGATCACTCCTGGCCGTGACACAAGTGGAAGTGGACTAAACTTTGCCATATAAGGAATATTTATATCTACATGTAGCTACTAGTGGCCTAAGTTAACATTATCAATGGGCACTCTCAGCGGATCGGCCCGTTGTGAATATATTAACTTTCCCTTTTAAGTCGGCCCCTTGGTGAAGACTAATCGATTTAGGAGTATTCCTGCATAATTAGGATCCCGCTACTCTATTTCGCTAAGTTGTATTAAAAAACGGCAATAGGTATATTAATTCGATTTCACTAGTTCGAGTGCGTCACTATGGAGCACTCGAATTCACAATATTGAAATAGAGTACATATATATAGGCCCAGCTTTTTCGTACCACACGATCAGTCATCGTACAGTGCATAGATATATTTTGTTATCTTAAGTATTGCGGCAAGATAGCATATAGTATGTATAGCGTGATCCACGAGGACGATCGTCCTTGTGTCCTCGCCTCGAGGACCCTCGAGGACAATTCTTAGCATATTATACACTTATATATGTGCCGAATTAAGATGAGGTCAACTAATTAAGGATAGAATGTGTTTCTTGATTGAAATAAATCTAAACACCGCTTTCTGCTCGCCCGGAATTGTCCTCGAGGTACCTCGAGAACAGCAGTGATCAACCTCGAGGACAGCCAAGGACATAGGTCAACGAGGACGAGGAACCTCGAGGACACCGTCAAACGGCCTCGCCTCAAGCGTCCTCGTGGATCACACTGAGTATGTATACATAAACCTCACCGACCCTCTCAAAGTTATAAACCCATCAATATTGAGACAATGCTTCGAAGAATATGATTATTCGATCCTCAGTGTACGTACTGTACTGAATCTTTGATTAATAAACTAGTCAGCTGGTGACGAAGTGATACTATAGCACCGAGTGCGATTCCATGAAATGAATACATATTGAAAAGGCACATGTAGTGCATCCACATGAATATGTCCCCCACGGCTAACATGCAGTAGGATAAAAAGAAACTCATTGATTGCCCACGTGTGGGGGTCGATTATAAGACTGTCTGTGCAAACTGGAAGGTTGATGTCAGTTCTTAACCAATAACTGTTTTAATACATACAAGTAACTCATGCCACTACGTTGTATGTACAGTAGTTTATTTCGCTCTTCCGACAGGCCGCCTCAGAACTGGCGAGGCCAAATCTAGACCCCTCTAACGAAACCCACCCCACTTACCAGTGAAACATGAAACACATATATGCGTCTAAGACATTCCGTGCCTGCATACGTATGGTTTTACTTTTGATCGGCGGGGCAGAAACCTGCATACTCGTAGTTTCCTGGCGTTTTTGGACTGGGCCACTATTGCACACACCCAAAATCAGGGTCTTGGCGTATTTTTGTATGGTATGCAATATCAGTCGCGTTCAAAAACGTTAGGAAGTTACGAGTAGAGTAGAGTACCTACATGTATTCTAGAGTACCAGATCTAGAGGCTATATACAGATGCATCATAAACCGCTGATTGCAGCCGATGCAGCGCAGAACTCGCAAATCAGGAGTATCGATAAAATATAAATGCTGCCTCGCGAAGTTTCAAGTAGCAAATCCCAACATCTCACTTAATTAACACCACTATTATTGAGAGGCCGGCCATCGGATATCATGTCATCTATCAGTTCGCAAAATTAAATGGTATCTCGATTACATGTACTTACTTAAAGTATAATATAATGACATCATTTAAGGATGCCGAAAAGCAAATCCAAGACGCCGCTATTGTACGCGTTGCCTGGGCTGCTCACGTCATCACGGTCTTGCGTGTTGTCCTGATTTCCCCACCTTCTTGCATCATCAGTATCCTACCAGTTAATATGATTCCATCTCCAGGCAACTCAATACTCAGTCACAATACACCTTCGCCCAAGCCATAAAAGCCTTGAAGTAATCAGCTGTAAGCCAGCCTTGCGGGGCATACTGGGACCGAGGCACCGGTACCATTCTCGCTAGTAGTTGAAACAGGGTATTATCTTGTGTCTTTGCCGAAGAAGATGTTCGATCATGGAATCATCTGTGTCTGACCATCATGCTACAGAATCATCTATTCTCACTCGAAACACATATTACCATTCATTTCACGACTAAATTCCAGCCAAGTCCTCCACTACCAAACGTTTCGGACTTAACCGATCTTTTTGGCACCGGACTTCCTTACAAAAAGGCAGGATTCGAATCCTCCCTGAATTTGGTGTGTGATTAATGCACGATCCCTTAGATAGATGGCACGGTCAAATTCGCAGCCTGTCTCTAGATGTTTGAGCTAGTACTGCCCCTATTTAGTAACCAATTCTAGATTTAGTTAGCTCTTTGGTTATTGTTATTCGCAAAATAAAAGAAAGTTGTCCACCAAGGTGCGTACAGGAACCAAGTTTGAATTCGACCGTGCCATTTGTCTAAGGGCTTTTTCTCTTATGTAGTTTCGAAACTCTTTCCGCCTTCAAATCCAGCCACTGACTGACCCCAAATGGTTGGTTATGAGGCGGTGCATGTGGTGTAGGTAGCGTGGGGTACGCTCGACATTAAGTCATACCTGAAACCACAAAAAATAAAAAGGAATCGAAAGAAGACAGGGATTAGATGGGTTGTTCTAGTTTGGCTCATGGCGCCGGCGGCGAGACTGAGAAATCTAGATTGACACATAAATGGTCAAGACTGGGAACATAAATTGATATTGTGGGTGATTCATTTCTTTGCTTCTTTCAACAAGCACTCAGTTCACACCGCCTTCTACTGATTTGACTTTTTTATCCCTTCGTCTGGCAAAAAATGCTGCCCACCCCCCAAAAAGCAAATTTTATATGTGGCTTTACTAACAGATCCCGTTATCTCTCTTATCAAATAATAGATCTCCCATACAAATCTGATTCCTGTGTTACAGGGTGGGCAGCATTGCCAGACGAAGGGATAAGCTTACACATATTTTCAATTACAGATAAACAAATCTAGTATCCTGAGAAGGGCCGAACGATCTATGTATGGGTTGCTACATGTATGTTCATAGGCCATCACTCGGCAGGACCATCAAATATTTATGTATCACATTCATACATGTGCATATGCTAGTACTAATGCCATCTTACCTTATTGTTGCCATCAAGTTGGACGTGGGTACATGTCTGTCGATTGAGGCTGGTGCCAAGGAATTTGATTGATTACATGTGGAACCTGGTAGAGGAGGCTCAGTTCATGCGTGGACCTGCGTGACCAACACCAACGTCGGATGATGTTTAAACAAAAGCAGTACCTACAAAGTTCTAAATAATAGTAGTAAGTCTTTACCCAACACTGAACACGTGTATATCGAGCGAAAATGAAGATATTGAAGTTGAAACATCCGGGTTACATCTGCAAGCTGCAGGCTATGCCCGGGCTCTCGAGGAAAAATAAAAACTTCCATTGTTCCGGCGGAGCTAGCTAAATCGTACGGGGCTTTTTAATACCCTTTATAACTCAATGTCTAGCAATGGTCCGACGATAATCAAGAGTGGTTTATATTCGGGCCCTCGGCCCTTGATGGCTTGCCTCGGCAGCTAGGAACATCCTGGAATTGTACTGAATACATGTACGTTACATTTACGCTACATGAAACATTCTACTCATCTCATCTATCAATTGACACTCTAAGGTTACAAAACAACGCCTTTACACACCCCACCACCCACTGACCGGGATGACGCGATCGATCCTGATCAGGTTTCTAGAATAAAACAAAACGCAAACGAAAAAAGAAAAACAAATGGGAAAAATACAGCCACCCAGGTTTCGTCTCATCAAAGGAAAGGGAAGAAAAATAGTTCCCGCCCGGCGGAAACATTCACACCCGTAAAATCGTACGGACGTTACGTACGTCACACGCGTCAGTCAGCTAGCCTGCCAGGACCGCAACTAACAAACAGAAGATATTCGTCTTGCCGGTGGAAGCGTTGTGTCTTTTTATATTTTTTTTATTCTTGATCGCCATGCATGGCTAGCCGCGTTTGCATCTATCGCAACGATGGTGAAGGCAGACAGAACATTCGCGCGTACCGAGGCCGTACTGGGAAGCGCAATTGCAACATGTCCAAATTCCCTGTGTTGCGCAGTTCCCGCATCGTGTATGTCGGCATACACTGCATCCCGGTTTGTCGAGCCCATAACCCGATGAGCAGACACAGCAAAGCGAGATTTTTGGAGGTGCTGGCATGGTTGATTGGCTTTTCGTTTGAAAGTAGGCGAGTCTGTTTGAGGATTACCGCTTGCTTGCGGTAGCTGGCAGGAATATAGAATTGCAGTTGGCCGGAGTGCTGTGTTGTATCGAATTTTTGTCTGTTGGATTTGTTCGTCTTGGATGCTTTGGATATGGGTGGTGAAGGAGTGATATTTATTCTGGAAGCCTCAGAGAAACTGTTTGGGAGATATGGGTTTAGATATGGATGGGGTGCGTTGACTGGCTGGGGTTGTGGTAAGATTAATTAAGGTTTGTGGGTTGGAGATGACCACTATTTATGTATGTGCAGCTTCCATGCCTCACATACTGTCTTTCAAAAAAGAACTTCTACTGTTCAACACCGTTTTCCGAAGTTAGGTAGGGGCAATTGGTATTACGCGGCAACAACAAATGAGAAGGACGACTATTTCAGTTCATTCCTGGGTGCTTTGAGCTGTTGCACATTTGACCGGGATAGGTTGCTCTGCCTAGCTCAGTACATGTAGCTATGATGATTTACCCTCGACTGCTCTCTGTTGGCTAACTAAGCAGTGCCAGTAAGTAACCTAACAGGGCATGCGAGTGATCCCCCATGGCCAATATGAGTATATAATATAAGTTCCTAGGATCAAGAGTAACCCTGGATTCCACGGTAATCGTCCATGCATGCAGCATCCCCATCGTTGATACATAAGCCGTTGTACACCTATTTAACTGTCTGTGCGCGAGGGGACATACAGATACATGTATGCGACGCAAATCATTCATGCACAATCACTCGAAGCCATTTTACATTGCATGCATGTACCTAAGCTTTTCTTACGGCTAAGCGGGTTCGACGTACATGACATGCCAGGCCGGGGAGAGATGTAAGTAAGCTTCGATGATAGTAAACCTTTAACAGGCGTATATTTTATATATACTCACTGACCTCTACCCCTTTAGAATACTTCAAGCCATATACGGGTGCATAGTTTCCGAACTTGTATTATTCGTACAAGCCAACATTGTAAAAAGTCGCACCACGGATCGTGTAAGTCCCGCAGAGCCTTAACGTTATAACAGTCATACCCAGCGATACCGCCGCCAACATCGTCACATCATCACTATTTGCCTCATGCTGCGCCGCGGTTGTAAAAAGGTATCAATCAGTTCCAGATCTATTTTAGTTTGATTTTGCCATGGCCAGGGGATGGCGCTGGAGTTTTCGGGTTGAATACCGATTTCGAAGGGCCGAGGCCAAAGTTAATGACAAAGGGCCGATATTCGAATAATCAAAGGCTACTAACTCTATAGTTTGAGTATATGTGATATGAATAGCTTTCATGGGTGATCACTCGAGCTTGTAAGTGTGGTCAACTTCAGCTGAGCGTCTCTACAGCAAGTGGGCTGTGGTGGTTCCATAATTAGGGTCACTCTTTGGTGGTGTTTCGGATACTGACTAACTAATATACCTCTAGTTACTATAGTAAAGTATAGTACCATACTGCTAGTGATTATGGGTACCGGCAGTAATTATCGGAGATCCAGAGGGATAACTACAATATGTACCTATGGTACGTGGATTATTGTTGTTTTTAGCCCCGGCCGAGCTGATAAGCTGTTAGCTGTGGTAGTTCCCGTCCGGCCGCGGCCGGGCCGAGTTACAACGGTCATTCTACCTCCTACCCAGCTACCTAGCCACCCTGTCCAGCTCTACCCCAACAAACAATAACGAAGAAGACCCCGGCCCAAATTGCGTGTGGGCTGCCGACCGTTGACGTGCGTGTGATGAGAGATGGATACAAAATGAAGAAGATGAGTACATACTAGTCGATGATGTCATCTTGCCTACGATCTTTGGTTCCTGAGATGCAGGGCTTAACGTGGTTGTTAAGTCCCTTCGTGGATCCAATTTCACTACCCCTGTGTAACCCCAGTCTACAAGATCCGGGGTAACTAATTGAGGGATTGTGTGTTACCCTTCCTAACAATAATGTCTGATTCTAGACCATTTCCATTCTCTCCTCCGTGCCTGTCGCCCCAGCGGACGAAACGATGCCCTCCATGTATTGTCTCGGCTATCACAGCGGAAGAACCTTATTTGATCATCCCTCTCTCCACCCCCAGCAACAGCTGTAGCTAAAGTTTATCCAGAAGGTTACTGCATGTTCGTAAGGATATGTCCTTGCTGGTTGTGTTGGTGTGGGGCATGGCCGGGCATGGGGACGTTTGGTTCGTGCCTCTGCCCGATCAACGGCTTTGGCTCCGGAAGATACATTGGCCGAGACAGTCGGCGTCCGCAGGCCGTCTCGAGCTTCGGAAATATAGGTATATCTTTGACAAAGGGTGTGTGGCCGTGGTGGAGCTTTGAAACACCCGGAGCTTGACCTGATTTGTGGAGTGATAATAATGGGATCCGGTACGTCGTATCCGTTCTGTTTCCTCTGTTCAGTAATGTTCGCCTTATAAATGCAATCATATCAGCTGCATACGGGTGATTAATTTCGTGAAGGACTAACTATCATGATCAACCGTGTGTACGCGCAGACATACTCTACTATCTATACTGGACCTTGCAATGTTATCTGAAGAGTGGAGATCATATGAATGCAACTGCCAACATGCACGTGGCCGACAATGTCTTTCTTTGGTAGTTGGTATAGACCCCCCCGGACCCCCACACGCGAAACCCTAGAAATAATACGTCGTTCAACTACATAACCACGGGACTACCCAGTGGTCCATCGATCAACCTTGCTAACGGCCCATGTGT